GAAGGTGTAAACGCGCAGTTGATAGAAAGCTAACAAGGAAAGGAAGGGGGGATACCTAGTCAGCTGTACAACTGAATGCATTCAACTGAAACGTGTCTTCCGCATTTAATCCAACCCCTCTGAATCAGAGGCTACCTTAATCGACATCCACGCCCGTGGAACAGTGGGTTAATTGTCTTGATATGGGGAAGAACGACAGATTTTTACCTTGTCAGCTCGGGGATTCGATCCAGCAACCTTTCGGTTACTGGCCCAACGCACCTACCCGCCAGTCTAACAAGATGGAGATGAGTCAGAGGACTAAATATTGCTCATGACTATGCAGTCTGCAGCCCCCTGTCATTGCTTTAGAGACCACACTGGCTAACTTTTCTATTATAAGCAAAGCCCATAACACACCGTCCATGATGATGTGACACCTACAGTCTGTGTGACACACACTTGACTGTCAGCTGTCAATAATAGTTAGCCAGCAGCAAATTGGCTAACGTTAGCAACATAACTAGTTAGCCTTCTAGTGCTATCTAGCTTGTTCTCGGTACAGTTCGTTTAGTTCACGTAAACGTTAGCTACATTTCTACTGAATGCGCATTTATATGTGATAGCTAACGTTAGCTAGGTAGGTTAGATAAGTTAGCTTGGTAATTAGCTAACGTACAGCTAACTGAATGTCAAAATTAGCTAAGTTAGTTAACGTTAGCTAGCTAGCTAATAAGCTAAGCTAACGTTAGCAGAACTGACAGTGACAACAACATAACGTGTTATACTCACCGAATGATTTACACCCCACATAAAAACGCTCAAGACTGGGTCACTGGCACGAAAGACCTTCACCTTCTGCTGCACAAAATGTTTCTTTTTCGTTTTGGTTTTTGGGGCCAATATCACCATTGGACTGGAAACAGCGTTACCGATAGACGCCATCGCGAAGCTTGCCTGGCTTTGCCTTGCTTGGGAACTTTTTTTTTTATCTTCTCCTGATTCTGATCTTCTGCAAACTGACTTCCTCGTCACGGCGTAATGCAAATCAAAGGTTAACCATGCCGCGTGCAGAATTTCCACAACACCTCGAGCAGTTCCTTCTAAATTCAGGTTAGTAGTAGTAGCCTACATTTGTGCTTGTTTTACCATTGGTTCTAACACTCATTTTGGATTCCAAACTAGTCTGTCTACTCAATATATATTCCAGTCCAGCTATTCTACCAAAAAATAATGGGGAACTGACATGCAGTCCCCTGTAAATCCAACTGTTCAGGTGATTGACAGGCGTGATAAACCAAAGAGATGTGTTACAAATAATATCATGTGATCAGATGGGCCGATACAATGTCCCTTTCATGAGTTCTTACTTACTGTAACTATCATTTCACAGTATTTCTGCTATTACTGTAGCAATGCAGAGTTTTCCTACCTTTGGAGAATAAAGGCAGACTATGAAAGTAAGTCAGCTAAGTCATGTATCTAATGTATTCCAATGAAGCCAAATTCCATTGAAGCCCAAATTAAACGTTTTGATGTATTGATCATAGAGGCATTGCAGCCCTCATGCTCTCTCTCTCAAAGCAGTGCTTTGTGCAGAACTTTCTGCCAACCCATATAGGCCACCACCTATGGCTAAATTAGAGAGTGTTGTTCAAACGATTCACATGATACACTATCACTTCTTAACTGTCTAGGCCAACTCAAACAAAAACCAATGCTTGGACATTACAAGGGATCCATAAGATTTAGGCTAATTTTGCATAATTGTATTACTGTTACACTGGTCTCTGTTGACTGGTGTTCTCCCCTTGTTGTGACCATCACTGGCCTTGGAACAGTTCCAATGTCATGACCCACTGGGCACAGACGTCAGTTCAACCTAGTTTGGATTTACATTTGGTTAAATTGTCAACTAACGTGAATTCAACGTGAAATCAACAAATGTCATTGGATTTAGCCTAAAAGCTGGGTGAAAAAAAGACTAAATGCCCTTACATTGATGACTTTTCTCAAATCCAATCAGTTTTCCACCTTGATTCAACATCATCACATAGATTTTTGGGGGTTGAAATGACGTGGAAACTACGTTGATTCAACCAGTTTGTGCCCAGTGGGGAGGTGTGTGCATCCCAAATGACACCATTCCCTATTTAGTGCACTGCTTTTGACCAGGGCAGAATAAATAGTGCACTAGGGAATAGGGTGCCATTTGGGACACAGTCCCTCCTCTCGATTATCACTTCTGACATACCATCTCTCATATGCCTTGGCCACTAATAACTACAGTATTGCACCAGGAACTTTGGTCTTTGGATTATCCCTACATGTTTAAATGTATACATTTGGTGAAATCAAGACTTAATGTACTTACCCATACTGATCATTATCACATGCAGTTTTAGTTGAATATATCTTATCTTTATTTCTGCATTTAAACCATGCTCTTAGTAAGCAATATGGCACGAAGGGGTGTGGTATATGGCCAATATACCACGGCTAAGGGCTGTTCTTATGCACAACGCGGAGTGACTGGATACAGCTGTTAGCCTAGGTATATTGGCCATAAACCACAAACCCCTGAGGTGCCTTATTGCTATTATAAACTGGTTACCAATGTAATTAGAACAGTAAAAAGTAATTTTTTGTCATACTCGTGGTATACGATCTGATATACCACAGCTTTCAGCCAATCAGCATTCAGGGCTCAGACCACCCAGGTTATAATATAGGATATACGTATGATGTCTCCTGAGTGGCGCAGTGGTCTAAGGCACTGCATCGCAGTGCTAACTGTGCCACTAGAGATCCTGGTTCGAATCCAGGCTCTGTCGCAGCCGGCCGCGACCGGGAGACTCATGGGCGGCGCACAATTGGCCCAGCGTCGTCCAGGGTAGGGGAGGGAATGGCCGGCAGGGATGTAGCTCAGTTGATAGAGCATGGTGTTTGCAACGCCAGGGTTGTGGGTTCGATTCCCATGGGGGGCCAGTATAAAAAAATATATATAAGTTAGTAAGTCGGTCTGGATAAGAGCGTCTGCTAAATGACTAAAATGTAAATGTAATATACCACAAGCAATGTTAATGGCATAGCATTTTGATACGTCTTCCATCTGAGCACATTTTAGATTGTTAATTTTCTGCACAGAGAGGGTAGCTATAGGATGTCTCAAATGTAACCATCCTAGATACAGAACCAGGACATGTGGTGTGATTTAACAAAGGACGCTGCTTACTTTCCTGCATCATCCTCTGTGAGACCTGCATTTCAAATTCTTATGCATGGACAAATTGGATATTCTATGCTGTTTCCTTGGAAACAGGCATTTGTCCTTGTAGGTGCTGTAGCAAATGGTCCTTTGCTTCTGCTAGACATGGTAGAAAAACTGCATCATACTGATGCCTATTAATTCCTAGTCCATACATGTAAATAACTTGTTGGTTCATCTTTAACCTGTTTATTTATTTGTAACTTGATCTGGAGAGACAGTTATTAGATCTTAATTTCAACAGAAAACAAATACTTGAAATCAGGGCCATAATTTTAAATCAACTCTGACATAAGAGAACAACATTGGCTAGCAGAGTAGCTGTGCTGTGCTACATTTAGCTGCTACACTTGTGCAGTGCTTCAGACTGTGACTATGACGAAGCACCTTTGTTAAATCACTACAGCTACTGCACTGGTGGAGCTCACAAATAAAACACACCGTAATGCTCTTTGTTATATTAATATATGTATTGATTTATTGTTATCCATTTTGATATCATTATATTTTATTTGAGCTCTTACAGGCCCCCTGTGCATGGACCTAGCATCACAGCAAAGACATTGGCACAACAAGATTGGTGAGAAATAGATATAATCTAATCACACAGTTTATCACACAATTCAAAAAAATTTGTGAGGACTTGGGAAAGACAAGTAAGTAACTGTAACATATTTAAACTTAATTTACCAAAATGAGCATTGTAATAGAACGTGCCAAAGCAAAACATTACCATGATACATTCCAATATTAAATGGTCAAAGTATAAATAAAATAGAAATCTTGAAATAAAAATCATAACAGTTGAATAGCTCAGGTGTGGTGAATTTTGCCATGAGGGTGCTACTGCTGCCAAAGCACAATGTTGTCCCTAGCAATGAAATAAAATAACCTCTGATTTTAAATTTAAAAAACTGCTGACAATATAAAAATACATGGCATTGTAGTTCATTTAATAAACCAACAATTTATATATAAAATATTATATTGATGTATATAAAAATATGCTTAACAACTTCTTGAAAAGCGTAACAGCCATAAGCGTTTTTTTGTCTGCCACTTCAGAACACACTGTCAACCACAAAATCCCAAATATGTACAAACAATCAGCTATCAGAGCAGTCCGAACGTCATTTCAACAACAATGGACTGTTTCACATCACCGTTTTTCTGACGCGATTATAGGATAAGTGTAAAATTCAAGCAGTACTACATATTCCAAAATAAATTAAATAGAAAAGGAATATTCATAAATTGTATGAAGTAAATATCATAATGTCAGTGTATCTTTGGAGAGAGGGAGAGAGGATGGGGACGTAGACATGTTTTCAAACATTGTGTCACACCAAAACCAGCGTAACAGTATTTCAGCCCACTGAGTCAATAACAAATACAGGCAGTGTCAGCTATCCTATAAAACAGAACATCTACAACGAACGCACGAAGCCAGGACAAGAGCCAAGGAATTCATTAGGCAGTGAGTAACAGGTAAGCTATAGCACATTGTCACACTGAATGATTGAGGACTGGTACTGTAGCTGCAAACTGTTGAACATTCAGCTGGATGTTGCTACTGTAGTACTGTAGGTATGTGTCTTTGTTTAGATGGTTCTTGACCAGAGGACAGTAAGCTAATTTGGGTTAATTTCCATAGGAAGTGGTTAATCCCTGGTGTCTCCTGTCGAGGCAGTGTCTAGCACAAGCTAAAGCCACCCCTCTCCCTGTACTCCTCCCCCTCCTCCTCCTCCTCCTCCTCCTCCTCCTCCTATTCCCCCTCCTCTAGGCTCAAAGTTGTGGGACAGAGACCTCCCTCAGTCTCCATCGCATGGTAAAGTGCCGTCTTCACTGGCACCTGAGGGCAAAGCGGTACCCAGCTCGTCCACACACCAACAGAGGCCACGCTGTATACCCTTGGAGGAACGACACTGTGTTGTGTGAGAGGAGAGAGAATGATAATATGTCATCATACCACATAACTATTGTCTGCATGCCCACAGCCCAGAGGGCCTGGAAGCAAATTCTCCTTTATCCAGAGCCTCTGGCCGTGGAGACATTTTTGGGCTGAACTGAATAGAGAGATAGCATGCAACTAAATAGAGGGATAGCATGCAACTAAATAGAGGGATAGCATGCAACTCTCTGGATCTCATAAACACATACTAAACATACACAGGCAAATATTCATGTCAGCAAACATGTTGCTCTGTATCTACCTGCTTTTTCCTGTAGAAGCCCAGAGTGTCACAATTGGGGATATAGATGTCACGATCAGACAGGAAGATAGTGAGCTCAACACCACGCAGAACACTATTGAGCAGCTTACGGCAGGGTGCCTAAACAGATCAAGGATGCAGTAACTATACATTGATAAATACAGTAACTACACATCGATAAATACAGTAACAACACCATTTTATTTATTTTTTTACCTTTATTTAACTAGGCAAGTCAGTTAAGAACAAATTCTTATTTACAATGACGGCCTACACCGGCCAAACCCAGACGACGCTGGGCCAATTGTGCGCCGCCCTATGGGACTCCCAATCACGGCCGGTTGTGATACAGCCTGGAATCGAACCAGGGGGTCTGTAGTGATGTCTCAAGCACTGAGATGCAGTGCCTTAGACCGCTGCGCCACTCGGGAGCCCATGATGCATACAGTAACTATACATTGATAAATACAGTAACTACACCTTGATAAATCCAGTAACTACACATTGATGCATACAGTAACTATACATTGATGCATACAGTAACTGCACGTTGATAAATACGGTAACTACACATTGATAAATACAGTAACTACACATTGATCAATACAGTAACTACACATTGATAAATGCAGTAACTACACATAGATAAATAAAGTAACTACACAAGCAGAAATGCTTATTAAATGACAGAAAATGCAGAGAACCCTTAACTAGCCTATTACAGTAGCTACAACACGTGTGGATATCATAGAAAATGTATGTCAGTGATGCAGCATGAAGCCAGAAGCTAAACATATTATATGTCACATACTATCATGCCATTAAATAATAATATTGTTACACCAGGGCTGTGCTTTTTCAGTTCACTGAGACAGTGGATTGAAGCAACTGTGTGACTATATATACAGTCCAGTGCATTAGGAAAGTATTCATAACATTTCTTTGTCATTATGGGGTATTGTGTGTAGATTGGTGAGGGCTGTAACGTAACAAAATGTGGAAAAAGTCAAGGGGTCTGAATACTTTCCGAATGCACTGTATTTGTCAAATTGTAGAAACAGATTGTGTGTTGTGTTTGTGTTTTAGCACATATCAACCTCTCGTAAAGTGAAAAATCCAAGGTCGCCACGGTCGAGTCTAAACTTTACTGATTCACATCATGGTTTATTAGTTCTGCCGCATAGCAGCATGCACATCATGCCCCATAATGTATGGCTTCATAGCAGTATATGTGGTACTGCTGTCACTGTATCACCCAGATAGCACAGCAGCTTCAGTAATAACTAACTCTCTCCCGGTCTCCTTCCATCATACACTATCTATCTGTATGAATATGAACACATTATGTAATCAGCTCTACATATTTTCTCACATTTAAGCAGGTGTGGTTAAGTGTACATAGAAATCATTATTAGCTTCATATTTGGATAAAACATACCTTTTCTATTTCACCACTATGCGAAGGATGTGGACCTATAGGAGAGAGCAGCACATTCACAAGAATACATTAAATCAGGGCATTATTAAGAACCTTAAACCATCTCTGATATCATTATATAAGTTAGAAGTATTTTATTTCAAGCTGTTGCAAGACATGAATCATCAAGTATATACTGGATACCGGTATATATTTCCCATGTGTATAGTTCCTGTAGCATGTCTTTACTAAGGGATCGCAGTGGCTTAGTCTGAACAGTAGATGGAGAGCTTGCAATGAAAAGCAGCATAATCTGAATGTGGGTGACAGCGTGACACTCATTCTGTGCTGTCAAGAAAATGCACACACACACAGATCACACCCTCTCTTTGAAATGCATGTACAGTACCATAACCATACACATCATATGCATCATGAGGCATGCCTACACACACACACATACAAATACGGAACCCTCAAACCAGGATTTCTGGAAAACCAGGGAATTTATGGAAAGTTCCGGGAATTGTGCAACCCTAGTCACATGACTCCAGAGGCACTGCAGCATAGAAATCAAGACCATGCAGCCCTTTCAAATCCATGTTTAGTGCTTGTCATGCATCTAACATTAAATGTCATGCTCTTATGATAATACAGGACTAGCATTTCTATTTGGTGCACGCCAACATCACATACAATACTCACACTGATGATAAGAGAGTGTGTATCCTACTACGTGTTACTACAGCTACCCCCTTAATAAACTAAGCTGTAGTATAATTGCCCTAACACACACACATTTACATTTACTTTTATGTCATTTAGCAGACGCTCTTACCCAGAGCGACTTACAGTTAGTGAGTGCATACATTTTTCATACTGACACACAACACAGAGCTGAATTGAATACTATTAGACGTGCCGGTGGTGTGTGTCTCAGTCTTACCTGTGGGGTGGGGCCTCTCCGTGGGACTGGTCCTGCTGTGCTTGGTGCAGAAGCCCCTGCCCTGCAACAGAGCCTGGAGAGGGCTGTGTTCCCGAGGAAGAGGCACGCAGCGCAGCCCCTTGGCACAGCTCAGGGTGTACACACCACAGGGCTCTCCCTGGGCCAACACGGATGTACTGCCTGCCTGCCCAATATGGTCGCGGGGGGACCGACCTGGTTCTTTACATGAGAGACAACCCTTGTAGGGGCCCAAGCGGTTAGCCTGAGTCGAAGATCCGCAGTGAGCAATCAGCAACAAGACAATGGTCGTTAAGTTAGAAAGGAGAGGCATTTTCTGTCCAGGTCTCAGGTTCAGATCCACACTCACTCTCTCTCTCTCTCTCTTTCTCTCTCTCTCTCCCTCTCCCTCTCCCTCTCCCTCTCTCTCTCTCTCTCTCTCTCTCTCTCTCTCTCTCTCTCTCTCTCAGTCAAATGTGGCTATTGCTATTTCTTCTCTCCTGTTTCTCCGTCTCTTCAGCTTTGCTTGGTGCTTAGCCGGTTTAATCGCGAGGCAGCCAGGAGTCCTCTACAGTGCCAGAGGAGACAAACAGAGATCGAGAGAGACACAGCAAAGCAGCAGCTTTTAAAGATCTGAAAGGCGGTGATAGAGTGGGAGAGAGAGAACACAGTTATGACACCTTCAGGGGCTGGGACTCAGAGAGAGAGAGAGAGAGAGAGAGAGAAAGGGAGAGGAATGCAGAGAGGGAGGAGAGAAATAGGTGGGGGAGGATTATTTTCCTTTTGGAAATTATCAAAATCTCCCCCACCTCTTCCTTTCATATTGGATACCCCCCCCCCCCCCCCCCCACACACACACACACCCGTAGACTGAATCCCTTCTCTAGTAATGTTGAACAGTACACATACTTTTTCCCCATTATACATGGATGTAAGTCCATTCTGGTCATATTTGCCATGGTAACAATTAAAGAAAGCTATTGCATTGCATTCAACTATACGGACTGCAATGTTTAGCCCTATAATACTTGTTCTAATACTCTGTCAAACCTGACCAGAGAAGAATACAGAATACTGATTGGATCTTGCAAAAGAAGCACTAAATAAAAAGATAACTTTGATAAATCAATTAAAATGACAACCATTGATCCAATTGCAGAGAGGACTGTCCGTGTACAGGAGAAAGTTAAAATAACCAAACAAACACCTTATTTTACCAGTACAATGTAATAATGATCTACCTAGATGTGTGCCAAATGTTAGTCAAGAAAGGTTCCCAGAAGTAGAACTGTAGCTCAGTTGGTAGAGCATGGTGCTTGCAACGCCAGGGTTGTGGGTTCGTTTCCCACAGGGGGCCAGTATGAAAATGTATGCACTCACTAACGGTAAGTCGCTCTGGATAAGAGCGTCTGCTAAATGACTAAAATGTCAAATGTAAACTGAAAGTGGATTGCCATGAAAAACACAATGTTTCAGCAGCTGGTGTATCATGTACTTACCTTGTGTAATACATGTGCATAACTATAACCCATTGGTTTGCTGGTCCTTTTCCAGATCAAACAATGTTGAATGGATTGGTATCGCTCCAACAGGGGGACTATCCCACCTCCTGACAAACTATAGTGTACGTGATCGTTGAGACAGTTGTAATGCTCACTAACAGAGAAATAAGCTTTTTGTGTGTATGGAACATTTCTGGGATCTTTTATTTCAGCTCATGAAACATGGGACCAACATTTTACATGTTGTGTTTATATTTTTGTTCAGTTTACATTTATATAATGTAGTATAGTGAAGTTTTATAAAAAGTTGTCATGATTTCTCAGCAGTTCTTCTTTTTACCAACTAGAGGCTAGGTGTGGACTAAGTCATAAATAAGTCCTGCAGCCTTGAGGGACGGTAGATGGTAGGTTCTGATTTGTATTGGAAGAGGCATCAACTGGATCATTAAGGAGGACTTGCTTTAGCTGGAATGTACATACTGACTGTAAGAAAGAGAGGGCTGAGTTAGGCAGCAGCTAATAATGCAATCCATCTATCCACTCAACCGTTCAACATTTGCTTCACGGGCACCATCTTCAAGAGATCACTCACTCTCACCCATCCTGAGCCTCACAACTCTTCATATTTCATACCACTTACAGTTCCATTCCATTGTTCCAGAATTCTGCCATGGCTGAAGAATCTGAATTCCATACTTCCATAATTGTGATCATAGTAGGCATAGAATAGCAATAGAGATGGGGCTATAATGCATATTACAGTACATTTTATTTGTCTTGTCACACAACAATATAATGCATAAACCAGCCTTTGCTGGAGGGTCATATGATGGAGCATAGAATTAGAATGATTCAATAGAATTAGAATGACTCATCTATTTCTATGGGTTAGAGCTCCATAGGTTAGAAATCCAGTCTTATCTATAGAGCATATTTTTCATAGTGTTGGGTGCTGTAGTTTGTCTGAGGTTACAACCATGGTGTAGCCTAAAGCACTTAAGTAAAAATACATTAAAGTCGTTTTTGGGGGGGTATCTGTACTTTACTATTTATATTTTTGTCAACTTTTACTTTCACTCCACACATTTCTAAAGAAAATATCCACTACATTTCTAAAGAAAATATCCACTACATTTCTAAAGAAAATATCCACTACATTTCTAAAGAAAATATCCACTACATTTGTAAAGAAAATATCCACTACATTTCTAAAGAAAATATCCACTACATTTCTAAAGAAAATATGTACTTTTTACTCCCATACATTTTCCCTGACAAAAAAAGAGGACTGAGCATGCCCCCATTCTCATTGACGGGGCTGTAGTGGAACAGGTTGAGAGCTTCAACTTCCTTGGTGTCCACATCACCAACAAACTATCATGGTCCAAACACACCAAGACAGTCATGAAGAGGGCACGACAAAGCCTATTCCCCCTCAGGAGACTGAAAAGATTTGGCATGGGTCCTCAGATCGTCAAAAAGTTCTACAGCTTCACCATTGAGAGCATCCTGACTGTTTGCATCCCCGCCTGGTATGACAACTGCTTGGCCTCCGACCGCAAGGCACTACAGAAGGTAGTGCGTACGGCCCAGTGCATCACTGGGGCCAAGCTTCCTGCCATCCAGGACCTCTATACCAGGCGGTGTCAGAGGAAGGCCCTAAAAATTGTCCAATACTCCAGCCACCCTAGTCATAGACTGTTCTCTCTGCTACCGCACGGCAAGCGGTACCGGAGCGCCAAGTCTAGGTCCAAAAGGCTTCTTAACAGCTTCTACCCTCAAGCCACAAGACTCCTGAACAGCTAATCATGGCTACCCGGACTATTTGCATTGTCCTCCCCCTCTTTTACGCTGCTGCCACTCTGTTTATTATCTATGCATAGTCACTTTAACTCTACCCATATGTACATATTACCTCAATTACCTTGACTAACCGGTGCCCCCGCACATTGACTCTGTACCGGTACCTCCTTTTTTTACTTATCTATTTTTTACTTAACACTTTTTTTCTTAAAACTGCATTGTTGGTTAAGGGCTTGTAAGTAATCATTTCCCTGTAAGGTCTACACCTGTTGTTTTCTGCGCATGTGGCAAATAAAAATTGATTTGATTTGACACCCAAAAGTACTCATTACATTTCGAATGCTCAGGCAGAACAGCAATATGGTCCAATTCACACACCTATCAATATAACACGTTGTCATCCCTACTGCCTCTTATCTGGTGGACTCACTAAACACAAATACTGTGTTTGTAAATGATGTCTGAGAGTTGAAAATTGTGCAGTCTGGTTTGCTTAATATAAGGAATTTGATTTTAATATAAGGCATTTACTTTTACTTTTAACTTTTACTCAAGTATGACAATTGAATACTTTTTCTACCACTGTACTTAAGTACATTTAAAACCAGATACTTTTAGACTTTTACTCAAGTAGTATTTTACTAGGTGACTTTCACTTTTACTTTGAGTCATTTTATTTTAAGGTATCTTTACTTTTATGACAATTGAGTACTTTTTCCGCCACTGCCATGGAGGAGATTCCTGTAAGGACAAGAAACTGTGTTTATATACTGTTGTCATGAGGCAACATGAACATTATCAAATCATTTCAGAGAGCATAAAACAGGATTTAGAATGATGTTGATCTAACAACGTTGAACTTGTAATGGCACTGCACCACTCTAAAATAAGGGCATGTTATGTTAAGGAAATATATACACGATTGGCCAAGATGCTGGATCACCTGTTGTATCTGTGGGAAAAATTATGTCTAGAACACAGAGACATCATAATACTTCCTAAAGCTCCGGAACCCACAGACATTCTGGAACACACAGACTAGACTACATCTCAAAAGTTTCGGAAGGCCACTTGGTGAAAACCTGTTTGGTCGTCAGCCGCCTGGTGTTCTGATTAGAGATGATTGATCTTGGCACTAAGAGCAGAAACCACCTGCCGTCTTGTGTTCCCATCAGTGAGCAACAACAGCTACAGCCCTAGCTAGTCTGTTTCCACATGTTTGGTCAGGAGAATCCAAGAGACCCGCCAGACCAATGGGGGCTCTTTCTTTCCACACTCCCTGGATTACTAATTTTTCCTCTGAAAACAGGTCTCTGTACACAGACAGACAGACTGACAGACAGACCTCTTCAATTTGATTAAAGATCATATTTTATGTTGTTGATATGGAATTGGTTTAACAGATTGCCAGTCTCCCTCATGGCTAGCTATTATTGACTGATGTTGTCACGCCTACTCCCGCTCCGGCGCTCGACGTCGCTGGTCTACTAACCACCAGCCCTGGCAACCATCATTACGCACACCTGGACATCATTATTTCCTTGATTACTCTCCCTTTATTTAGCCCTCAGTAGCCATAAGTCACTAGGTATTATTGTTTTGTTTCACGTTCTGTACGCTTCTCTTGTTTTGGTTATCTGCATTTATTCATTATTAAACTCACCTTCTGCACCTGCTTCCTGACTCCCGGCGTTTGTACGTAACAGATGTCACTAGGAAGCGCCATACTTCTGCAAAGTTTTTCTACTGTAGCTTTTTGGAGTCTTACCAAATGAACACAAGTGCATTTTTTAAACGAATTAAAAACATACTGGACAAAAGGTAAGTATTTCGCAAGAATAGTGGTATGCGGTGTAGGCACTGCTCTAGCAAGGTGGCTAGTAGCTAGTGAATCTGTGTGTCTGATGTGAGCAGCTAGCTCTGGCTGGCTTGCATGCTAGCTTGCCATAAGATACCGACTCTACCGTTACGCTTGTTCACACTGAGCTGCACTGGGGTCGGAACACAATCATGGTTACATGCCTCAATGCAAGGATGGGATATGCCACTGTACTCCAAATTTTACCATTATCCACACTGC